GATGATTGATGATCATGGTGGTTCTGGATGAAAGACAAAGTAATTTTCTAATGTTCCTATATTAAATTTGCTATAGGTCCTTCAAAGAAGAAGCAGTGGAAAACTTGATTTCAATCAGAAATGGAGAGTATATGTGGAGGGCTTTGGGGATCCCAATGACGAGTATTGGCTTGGTAGGTGAAGTCAGTTGGCAAGTCACAGTGTTTATGTAGGAACAGTTTAGAAATCTTTGATTACATTTTTTTAAAATTTATTTAATTATGAAATGTATTTATTGAGCTAAAATAATAGGTAGTTGACAAATATTAGATTGGAATGGAGAGTCTGCAATACAATTTTTTAATTCAAACTTATTTTTTTCATCCTTTAACCGCAGCCCTTTGGCGACCATGCCTCTCAGCTCATTTTAGATTTTCTTGTTTTTTTCAATGTTTTATGTTCTTGACTTTCCTCTCAGTCTACATTTTTTGACAAACCATACTTAACCTCCCATTTCCAAAGAGTGTCAACAAATATGGTCTAGATGAGACAAATAAGTTTCTACTTTTCTTATTAAAAAACAAAAAGCTATAATTTGTTCATACCCTGGGTCAGTACTAAAAGGAGATAGTCAACAGTATATATTACTCACAAGCGTCTATAGTGAAAGGAATTAATTAATCACAGAGAGGATCCCACAGGAACCGTGGATGATTAATTAAAGTTAATGTTCTGCAAATGAATGTACTGACTAATAAAACAAACAAGTTTTTTTTTAATTTATGGTCTTTTGTTTAGTATCTAGCAATACAATATATGCTAACATAAAGCGACGATCACATTTTTTTGTGTAGGATAATTAATATTTTATAGCGGAAATATATCTTAGTATTTAAGGTATGTGTGATTTTATATATTGATAGATTACAACATAAAACCAAAAGTCATTACATCACACCATAGTCTGCTGAATGGTATACTGAATGATGACAACTAAAAATGGCTACAGAGAGCTGCAAGCATTCATTAGTTTATTACTATTTTACAGAATTTTTTTTTGTGTTTGTGTCTGAAGTAGTTATTGTATTGCTGATTGCTAAATGAGAGTTTGAAGAGGCATACCTCCCAAACGCTTAAATCCAGTAGGCTATGGCCTAAATCGCACTTATCTACATGGGCATCTACTTCCAAAATCCTGGACATGCACAGATATTTCTACTACGGCCCAAGTGCAATTTTCACAAAACCCAAATAATAATCAAATATTGGAAAAAAAATTAAGTTAAAGGATGTGGTAACTTAATGGCAGATGAAGGCACAGCTTATTATATCATAACCCATCGACAGCATTAAATGATGGGGTTATTGCTGTAAAGGTGGACTATCATTGAAAGGATGACCTGCTTTATATTTAATTTCAGTTTGCATTCATACTAGTCTCAATTATCGTTTTCCTTTCAATTTCGATTAAAGTACTCTGTAAAGTGAGTGCCATGTTTAAAGCTGTTTAGTTGTCTCTATTGGTGTGACTATTCCATGTGAATGACTATAGCTTGGGGCCAGATGACTCTTGTTACAAGTTACTGGGAATTAATTGTAAAGCACTATTGTGTGGTGAATTTCTAATATTGGAGCAATCGCCATGGGAACAAATGGAATGTTCTTGTCGTGTGGTTTACTTCTGGGGCTTTGCAAGTCAATAGCTCTTTAGAAATAGCCCTCATATAGTCCTGAAACCTAGTCATGGTTCAGTATGTGAACAGCTCTTGAATGCTGACGAGTTCAGGAAAAGTGTAGAAGCTAACATAATTTCAGGAACGAGGTAGCATCCAGTATTTCCTGGTATCTGACCACTTTTCCCCTACAGGTCTGGAATCCCTTTACCTACTTACGAGTACTTCAGGACCATATGAACTGCGTGTGGATCTTCGTGCTGGTTCTGAGTCGGCGTACGCACTGTACCGCACATTTACTGTAGGCTCTTCCAGAGACAAGTATAAACTGACGGTTGGTGACTACTCTGGAACTGCAGGTATTACAGTTATTACAGCTTCCTAAATCTCTATACAACAAGGACGAATGCTTTGTTCAGAACAATAGATGGACACTTACTGATATACTGTAGAAATAGAAAATTAGGTGTCATAAGGTTACTCTAGATACTACTAGGGATAGGTTGTGGCAAATGCGGCAATTATTGTCACTCCTTGAAAAAAGGTTGGCACACCAATTGGACAACATTGCTCTGGAGTAATTATGGGATGGGAAATTGGAATAGGTAGCAAGTAGGATAAGCCAACAGGGAGCCCTGCAGGCAAAGCATCGTGGTTGTTGTAGTTCTGAAACAGCTAGAGGGCTGCTTGTAAGACAACTGTGATGTATAGCATAATTGGGATTATTATGAAAACAAGATTCATTAATAACCCTACAAAATTCAAATGATGGGATATTTATAAGTTAGCCCAGGGGGTGGAGGAGAGATCAGATGGGACCACTGTGCCCACAGTATACAGTTTCCCACTGCAATGTATGGTATGAGGGAATAAAAGGGACCAAAGTGATGGGCCATTTCTTTAAAATTACATATTTTTCACATTTTAACGGGTTTGTGGTTACTGGTGTAGCAAGCTAGCTGACTAGTTTAGTTTTTTTTTGTAACACTGATTTATTACAGAAATTTCTTGGGAGCTCATTTCCAAGCAATATAGCCAAGCTGATTAGCCCAATCTTGTGAATCCTTTAAGGGTATTCGGTGCCTTTATCAAATTGT